TATGCTACATAGTATTTCCCTCTTTTTAAGGAACATGAGCCTACTTGTAATTAAAGGAATGCTACATTAATGATGCTGAAAGTCTCAAAGGGAAAAAAATTTAATGTCCACCTCATAATATTATGGCAGAATTACATGTGCAGAATACTTTTTAATAATCTTTGTTTCTTAATTTAGTTTTGATTGGCTATGAAATACGGAGTAGCACTCAAGGGCTCAAATTTCTACTGTCATCAGCATTTCTGCTCTATAAATTGTAGAAATGCACAGGACTCCCATCTGCAGGCTCCTTTTCAAGCTTCTATTTAACCTACGAAAGAAATTAGCTGCAGGCAACTATAATTGAAGATAATTTCATCAATTTTTAGTTGTTTGGATGTATTATGATATCTAGGTCTAAACACAAACAGAAAATTATGTTTTAATGTTGCCATTTGAGCTGCAAACACAGGTCGGTAACACAAACCCGTCTCTCTAGTTTGCAAATTACAGCAACAGCCACTAGGAGTCTCCTGGACAAATCCATGATGAATTTGCACAGTAATCACGGCTCGGGTTTGAATACAAACCCCATGCTACAGGCTGGAATTTAGCAGAGGGGCCAGTCCCTGTGTAGGGCAGGTGGGACTGGGGCAACAGGATCTCTGAGCTGTGAGCAGCATCATGAGGTTCCTGAGCCTGTACCAGGGATATAGCTGGCACATGTTTTAGAAAGAAAGCCAGAAGCCACCTACACACTGTTCTGGTAGAGCAAAAGATGGTGACAATCACAGGAAGTCAGATTTGTTTCTCTTTATGACTGGACAGAGTATTGTGGAATTGTTTTTACAAAGAGGGAAGCAAATTTCACCGACTATTAGTTACTCCCAGGGATTTCAAGAAGATTTGTTTCGCACTGAAATGCTGCAGGCCTCAAGAACTAGCGCCGCCAGGTACTTCAGTACTTGCTTAGTGTCTCTGCACAGTGAAACCTGCAGCTCAAACCTGAAAATGTGAATAGCTTCTTTCTCTTTTCCTCTCTCCTCTCCTCTCTCTCCTCCCAGGCCAACTATGCACAAGCACACAGTGCCAGACACACTCTCAGCAATGCCAAATGCTCAAAGTTCATAAATTACAGATCTGCAGGAAGGGGTCATGCTGGCTCAAACACTGTGAATGTTCAGTCCAAGTCTGTGCCTGACAAAATATGTCCAAATTTCCTTGAAGGAATACCACAGAAAGCAGTCATGCACCTTCTGCCAGCTTATGTGGCTCACTCTGAGACACTAGAGACTGCTTTAAAATGGACAGGGAAGCCAGAGGTGACCAGTGAACCCTTCCCCATAGTGCTGGTTATCCTGTAGGCAGGAGGAGCCCTACTTATGCTGGAAGGATGCTGTCACATCCTTCTTACAGATACACACAACTCCACATCTAGAAATTTTAAGTGTTCAACTGCTCTTAGCCACTTATTTGTTCATAAGTTTCTTTTATGCATCTCTCCTCTTGAACAAAAATCCTTTCCAAGCTGTAGAAAACCTGAATGACTTTAAATCTGATGAGATTTTTAACAAACAATAATTTGGAAGATTATTTATTTGGCTTCTGCTTTTTGAGCTCCTTGGTTTCATTTTCAAACTTTTCCCTGCAACCAGAAGGACTAAGGAAATAGACATGATGTTTTAAATGAAACCTGAGAATCTCATATAATCATAATTGTAGGACTCCAGGGGTTTGAGGTTTCAGAATAATCTCATGAGCTGTCAATACTGAATGTCACCAGAAACGATAATGTTATTCTCGGAATAGATGCCTAAAAGCAACGGTGGGATAGTTTTTCTGTTGTATGCTCCCCATAATACCTACATATGCTGTTCTGGGGGGATACCACAAAGCTACCTGCAAGTGGTGAGCTGCCAAATGCTGGCTTTAGCTGCCAGTTAGGGCTGTTATATTTTGCAACAAATTTACATATGCAAAGCCCTGTTATTCAGTCTGTCAACTAAACAAGGAAAGTACAAATTCATCACAGACTCATAAGAACATTTAATGCCATGGGGAATATGCAGAAATAAGTAGGGGGTCAATTTAACCACCCATCTCTTCTGTATTGTATGCTTGCACACATTGCAATGCACGGCTGCGTTGTGTGTTATTGCAGGTTATTATCAGCTACTCTCACAGACTGCCTTAGATTCTACCATAATCTCTCAGCAGGACTTGAATGAAATTCTCAGTCTGGCTTGTTTCAAGAATCTAATCTATGTTACACCAAAGGCTGACAGAGACTCACAGCTAGTACCTTAGTCCATTTGGTGAAGAGAAAATTAGTAAAGTGATCAGGAAACTGACATGCAAATGAAAGAGGAGGCTGCTTCAACCTCCTTGTCATCCTGCAGAAGCAGATTTGGCTCCTTGGTACCCTTGCTTATTATTAGAACAGCTGAAAAGACCCTGTTCTTCTCCAAGTCAGTGTCAACCTGATTTCAATAACAAAACAGTGGTACAGGTTTGGCAGGCACATAGCCAATTCTTACAAGAAGAAAGCCAAGCATTTGTATAAGCCATTTTGGCACTTCACTGTGCTGAAAGAAACCTTTGCATCTTTGTCACTTCAAATTTGGGATTTTTTAGCACAAGAACATGCCTAACACGAAAGAACTTTTTTCTGCTGCCCACTTTCCCCAAGAATGTCAGTGCTATCTTCTTAACTCATTTTCTAAAACTAAAAGTGAACACAAAAATTCAAGGTCTCAAAAATGCCAAAGGCTCAGCCCTACAAAATATATAAAACCTCATTTGAAGGAAGTATCTAATTCCTACAGGTAGCTATAGTACAGATAGACAATGGAGCATTTTTAGGGATGAGAATGCTCTGCTGTGAGCCATGGGCAGTACCTTAGGAACATTAAATATTTCTGTAATTTTCCTTATGTTTCAAGCAAGCCAAGCCACTACCAATGCATATCTAAATACAGTGTATACGTACAATCTACATCTATCCTGGAAACAAATCCCACAGTTTATCATGTAAGAGTCCATCACTCTACACTTGTGTAGCTGAATGCACACTCTCATTCTTTGTGTGTGCTCTCTTGCTCTTCCCCTTTCTCTGCTTCTCATGTGAGGATTCTGGTGGCCTTCTGCATCTCACAGGCTTAAACTGCAAGTGAGCTACAGCTGTAATCTCAGGTCACTCCCAAGCAAACTTTCCTCCCACATCACAGCTCTGATGACCTGGTGTGGTCAAATGTTTTCAAGGGGAGTTCTGACACCATTTTTAACACTTAGATTTGATCAAAATGTCTTTTGTTTGCCTGGTTGTTTTTAGTTTAAAACTGTTGTTCTAAATAGAGCGCACACTGATAACAAAGGCCTTCAGAAACTTAGAGTATTACTTAAGATAGGAACTGCTGCAATGTTTATCTGCACTAAAAGGAAGAAACAAATTTTACTGGGCAGGTTTGTTTGTTTTCTCATTAAAAGAACAACTTTTTGCTTTACGAGTTACTAAATATTATTGAGTGCTAAATCACAGCTATAACTAGTCAGAGGGAAAAAAATGTATTTCAAGATTAAGGAGAAAAACCAATAAGACAATATTATGTGGGGCACATGATTTCCATTTGTTTTTAAACAGTGGCTGCTTGAAGCTGCTTGGAGATTTAGAGTGTCAAAGACATGTCAGCAGAGATGGATTAGTGGGCAGAGAGCAAGTGGTGCAGTCAAAGGTTCATAGTGAATGTAATTTATTCATGTAGCTCCACAATTTATCACGTGGCTATTACCATAATGTATGTGGGAAGCAGCTGCATGCGTGCAAATAATGCCTTAAATGTATGTGTGGTTGGATCTGAACTCCTTACAGAACAGCAGTGGTGGAAAATGATGCCACAAGGCATTGAAAAGCAAATTTCCTTCCTGCAGGGATGTTGTCACCCAGCAATGATGATTTGTACATAGACAAATAAATATCTTGTAGGCTTTTCTCAGTTGTGATAGCCTCACTTACCAGAACTCATTGGTCTTTCAAACCTAAATAATGTAGGTAATATGGAGCATGTTTCCAGTGCTGTATTAACAGATGTAAGTGTGCATGTTTTGTACACAATACTCTTATTTTCTTTTCAAGGAACTCAGTATCTTCCACCACTATTTAACAGAAATGTCCAATTGCAAAGAAAAGAGAGTCTCTGTGGGTGTGAGGACAAAGAAGCTGTCTACAAGTTAAAGATCTCCTTTAACTGAAACAACTTCTCACAGTGTGATCTATCAAACACTTGGGAGCAGCACAGCTGTAAAACATTGATATACATACATATGTGTGCATATACATATATAGTGTCTGTTGCATTCTTATACCTGTGAATTTACTTACCAAGCCAAACATTTCCAAACCCAGTCTATTTTAGGACCATGTAAAATGAGGAGCTCTGGTCTCTCTTAGTTTGCTTGAATGCCTACAGTTTCAGCTAGGAACAAAGCTGTGAGTAGTTGCTAGAGCTTGGAGGTGATTTTAGCTGCACTGTCCATACATACCTGCTGCAGCTCCTTGGGTAGCTGGGAAAACTTCAACAGCCCAACTCCCAACGCCATTTTTTAAGCTTTAGCAATTTGAGTTTAAGTGGTCTCACTGTTTGGAAATTATACTTAATTATGCCATGCTATGATGCTTTAAACTGATTTTAGTGGAATCAGTTCATTCAAATCTTTCTTGATCAGGCAAAGGCCATCCCAGTGATGGGTTAGCACAATAGGAGTTTTATGCTGGTTTCTTTAGATACATTAAAAGTTGCTGTAGAGAGACACTGAATTCAGATAAAGTCAAGTCCTCATAAGTAGAACATCTCATTGCTCAGCTTAATGTACTGCTCAGAGTTTTGTACAGCAGAACCTTTCACATCTGGAATATGATGAAGGTTTTCTTGGATAATTTCATGTGCACTCTAGGGCTTCTATTTTGAAGCCATATATCACAAATATATCCCCACTAATTATGCAAAATGAAAAGCTTGCCTTACCATTGCACAGAAAGTCTCGGGAGGATCTCCACATGTTATGTCGGGGGGATCCAGAGTCACTTTTACATATTTGATCATGTCTCTGGCTTCTGGCTGGCAGGCCATGTAATCCCATACTTTTCCTTCTTCCGTGTAAATCTGAGTCTTACACACGTCATAGTGTCCCCACACAGAAGGGTAGTGCTGCATCACGGAGGATACAGTAACCCAGAGGGTGTGAAGTGACAGGAATCTTGACAAATACATTTCTAAATCCTTTTATGTCAGCTTCGTAAGGATGCTCAGTGCTGGCGTATGTGCAGTCTAGAGATTATAAGTACATCTAATTTATATATTTATAAAATAGGTTCCAACTCAAACGTGAAGCATTAGGATGGGATGTTTGTTAAAGACTTTGGTAGAAGCCACCCAGGCCCTGATGACAGCCTTTCATAGCCATGCAGCGCTTGTCCTTCACCTTATAACTTATCTGTCAGGGCTTCTTGTAAAAGATGTCCAAGAGCAGATAATAATTTGTGAAGTTGCAGTCTTCAGCTACACTGTTGATAACCCTGAGTGATCCTTCGTGTTCAGGGCTCGCAGGGGATGCCTGGACACACTGATAAATCAGTATCCAGAGGAAGAGGGTGAGTGTCTGTAGGCTGGTGTCTCTTTCCCATCAATCATCCTTTTCTTCTGGCACCAGCACCCTTTCAGAAACAATAAAAATTAAGAGTTATTGTCCAAGAATCAATGCATTACAAAACATACGATATGTTGACATTTTGGAGATTTGATGCAATATAAAGCAAATTGGTACAATATGGATAACCTTTACTGTGGGTTCTGTGCTAGAATGAAATAACTACCAAAATCATTCACAGTGAAAAGTATTTTGACATGAAGGATTTAACTGTACTCTAACAAAGACAGATTTATAATGTTCCAGGTGAGTTAGAGCTTCCTGTTTCCAAAACTGTATTTTCACCCTAGCAGAACTGGAGAGCAAACTACTGACTTCAGCCATGGCCCAGATGGTGCAGGCAGGCAGGGGAGCAGGCAGCCCAGCACTGCAGGGCAGCAGCAGCAGCAAGGTTCTTTTACTCAAGTGACACAGAGATGGGCATCAGGGCTAGCAGGTGCTCATAGTTTCTTGGCAAGAGGACCTCATGGAGCTCCAAAAGCCTTACATATTTCTTTTAGATGATTATTATTGTTATTATTTTAAGAACAACAAAGATATGGCAAGTACAATTCAATTTCCTTGATGTTTCTCATTAGCATTGCAAGAGCTTTGCTCTTTTTTTTTTTTTTTTTTACATTTGAACTGTGATTCACTGACCACATTGATGACAAACTACTAATAAAGATAATGGCTTATTTTGTAGCTTACTATAAGAATGCTTTCCCCTGCTTATTTTCTTAGGTTTGAGGGTGGTTGTACCTGAGTACTCAGCACTTATTTCACAGCAAATATATGCCCTTTCCCCTCTTCAGAAAACAACCAGAAATCCCCTCACTTTGTAGCACCTGAATTACACTATTACAGGTATAAAATGCTAGAATTATATCACAGCAACTTCAAATATATATTTCCTGAATAACACAGGAAAAAAATTTCCAAATTCTGTATGAGGAAAACTGCAAAGACAGAGTAGGTATACTAAACAGGGACAAGGAAAACCAGGGCAAGGAATTCCAGCGCATTTGTGTCAGCCTGTGCCACCCGAGGCTGGAGAGCCAGGGCGCTGGGCTGTCGGCAGAAGATTTCAGCCACACGCTGCAGCACTTCCCCACTTCCTTTGTCTGGATGCTAAAATCTAGCCAGACCCACCGGACAGATGTTGAGAAACAACTGTAAGTCGTCACTTTCTGCAGCCTGCTTTGCTTTCCAGCTTTAAATTATGCCCAGTGCCGTGAACCCTCCTACACCCCACAGCCACAGGAATAGGTGTGTGACCTGGTAAGCTCCTTAACGTGTCACACTGGGAATGTTCATTTTCAAAACTTATCTTCAAAGCTATTCACAAACAGCCTCCCTCTATTTAAATAATGCTTCATCTTAAACTGAGCTAAACTACAGACACCATGAAATGCCAACAGATGGTTGAATTGTGTTTCCATAGCAAAGTAATTTACAATAATTGCTGTATGGACGTAAATGCAATTTTCCATTATATTCACTTTATCAAGTGTTACCATACAACTCTCATGTATTTTATCAGAATATGCAGAGAATATCTGAATTTTCTTGCAGTAACAATTCTCAATTCATTCAAACATATTTAAGCTTCAAATCTGAATTTGACACAAAAGCAGAAATATCTAAGACCAAATTAAATTTAAATCTCTTTAAGAAGCATGCTGGGTAGTACTGTTGCCTTGTAGCAACCTTACATTTTCTTTTTTTTTTTTTTTGTTTTCAGTGGGAGTGTTTGCATATTATTTTGGAATTCAGTAATTCAGAGAACACTTTCCATGTCATTCTAAAGATACTCCTTCCCCTGTGCTTCCTTTCCAATGCATTTACAATTTTGAAGGGGAAAACAATGCACCTGCAAGAGCCCATAGCTTAGGGTTATGGGAAACTATGTCACTATGAAAATGGGAAACAACTCCTTGCTAGAAGAGGCCGCAAATTATTTTAAATTTATGGCAAATCAAACACCCTTTATTGGAGATGGCTTGGTCATAGCTGAACTAAACAGTAAGTAAATAAATAAATATAATTTTTCTGTGTAGAAGTAAGAAGTTACTGAGTGTAATTATCTTTAGACTGCAAGCTTGTATATTCAGGCAAAAAAAAAAAAGTTTTTCTTTAATATCTTCCTTTCTAGCTCTTTAGTTACCTGTAAGCTTTGATAACTGCCAAGACTCAGATCCACTAATAAACAGGACTGGGTAGGACTAAATAATGTGAAGCAAGCCGCTACCTTAACACACTGTGCTAAAATACTTCCCATATAACGAATTCTCATTAAAGTAAGCCAGTCATAATGATGGTCGTTACACAGAATTATAGACTATAACATCGACTGAATTTAGTGCACTGACAAGAAAAAAGTGCAGAGGAGTGCAAGACATCTGAGCATTAGGCAGCTGTAGCCGTGTACAACAGACATTCCTGACAAGAAGCAGCCAATTATAACTTAAATTTCTGGCATATAACCAGTTCTGATTAATAGTTTTCCATTACATTACAGACATATTATTAATGTATTAAAAATGTCAAGCTTTGGCAAGAACTAGTATGGCATGGCTCAGTTAGTCTGCAATATCTTCTTTTAATGAGCTTCCATTGATATAGAGAAAGATATTGACCAAAGCACATTAAGGATCATGTCCTGAGTGCTGCCAGGTTTTTTTTCTGATGGAGCTATATGATTTGTCTTGCTTTTGTTTGTTCCTGCAGAGTCACTTAGGATACGCATTTTACATTTCAGTGCCCTATTGCTAAGGACATATCTATTTTAATTATTTTGTAGAAAAAAACGTTCAGAGTAACATTTCTGAAGTTTACAGCTGTACCCGATGTTTAGTGATAAGGCTCTAGCTGTGGGAACACACAGCAATGGGGTTTTTTGTCCCCTGTAATGTGCATTTGACCTGAGGAAGAGGTAATCAAACAAACCACTAATAACTACTGTCTGATGCCCTGATTCCCTCTGCCCTGCCCTGCTAGTCGCACACCCTGGGTGTTGGGGGCCACGGAGGCGGCAAAGAGGGATCAGCGTCCTTGCTGGCTGAGGGCAAGGGAACGCCAAACTGCCGGGACGACTTCAGCAAATGTATGCAAAGCCTCCAGAGCACACTGCTCCTGGCGTCTTCTGTGTGGGGCAGCAGCGCTGGGGCCTCGGACATTCCCCTGTGCCACAGCCTCTGCACTATGGAAAACACTAGGAGGCACCTGGGAGACACCGGCGCAAGGCCACATCTGCCCTGCCTTCCTCTCCGAGCGCTGCTCCGTCGGCGAAGTGCCGGTCGTTCCGTCACAGACACCTGAGAGGAATGGCGCGCAGCTGACCCCCAGACTGAAATCAGCAGTGGGGAGGCTCTGAGCACGTACATCCCTTTCCAGATGGGGAAGTCTCAGCTCATGCAGCGTGTTAATTCTGCAGATGGAGGAGACACCCCCTTTACAGAATAGATAAAATGTAATGCAGCATCAGTGCCAGGGAAGAACTTCAGGTCTCATTAGGGGATGTTAGCAAACACTCCTCTTTTGCCTCCTTCCATCACTGCGCAAATCCACCCCCTTCCCCTCCTCACAAACCACAGCGGCTGGATGTCTTGCATGAGCTCCCTGTTGGGAAATCACTGTGGGATCCATAGGGGTGGGCTCTTGGGCCTCTCTTTGGCAAGCCACAAGAACGTGAAGGAGGTAATAGAACAGTGACCACCTCCCACACTGACCACGCATCGGATGGAGCGTACCCTGCCAGCACGCCCGAGCAGCAAGGAGAGCCAGCGCAGATACTACACTGCCGGAGGAGAACTGGCGGAACAACTGAGCCGGGCAAGGAGTGCCGGCTGTCACCTCCCCACAGCGGCAGCTGCAGAACAGATTTTTCCAAGAGAAACATGTTTCAAGTTTGTATCCCGAACAGCTTAAGCAGATGAATGGATCCAATCAAGCCCAAGTAAAAAGCGCCTGTGCGTCCACTCCAGTTAATTATTTAAAGCTCGTTTAGAGCATAGGAAATAATGTGTATTAGAATACAGAACTAACCCTTGTGCAACTTACATTTACTAACCTTGTGTTGTATACCATGTTACACCTAGGCAACTTGAGAACCTTGTACATATACAAACCAACCCCTTTTATAAAGGCAAAATTATTTATCTATTCAAAGAAGAAGGGAACCTGTATTTAATGATTTAATACACATTATTTCTGTCAATACTTGTATGAAATTCAGTATACTCAAGCAACTGCTTTGGTGTCTTTGGCCTCAAATGCTGTTCCCATTCAAAGTTTAGGTTCTATTCTTATGCAGCTTACTTAACTATTTAGCAGAAAAAGATTTCTTAGCCTCAGGAGAAATTTAAAATGTCAATACCTAATTAAAGAAAATAAAATACAGCTACCAAAACCCTGCGACTTGGCACTATACTTGAAATACTTCTGGTTTTCACACATTATTCTTTGCTGACTGACACATCATACTACCACTGCCATAGCTTGCCAGGTATCATCAGCTGTCAGAATATGGAGTAAAAAGCATTTCAGCTATTTAAATTTTAGAGCCTTAGTACATAGCTGCTTT